CCTTCCCACTGCCAGAGGGATATTGGGAAGGGATTCCTGGCTGGGAGGGTGCTGAGGCACTGGCACAGGTTGACCAGAGCAGCTGTGGTACCCCTTGCCATGGGCAGGGGCACCTTCCTCCAGCCTAGGTTGCTTCAAGCACTGTCCAGAACCTTCTAAACCCAGAACCTTCAAAACCACAAGCTTTAAGCCCAGAACCTTTTCAATCCAGAGACGTTAAACCCTGAAGCTTTTAGACCCTTAAACTTTAAGCCCAGAGCATTCTAAACCCAGATTCTTCAAAGCCAGATCCTTCAAACCCCAGCACCTTTAGACCCTTGTAAGCTCAGACCCAGGGATGTGCCATCCATCTCTTCCCATGAACCTGTCCCACCCTCTGACACTGGTTGATGCAATTGCTCCCACATCTTGCAGGGCCTTTCCCAAGCCCTTGGTTGATTTTCCCCTGGACCCTTGCTCATTCCAACAGCTGCATTAGTGCCCTGCTCCATGCTTTGGGTCTGTTGGAGCAGCTCCAGGCAGGGTCAGGGCTGTGGCAAGTGACACAAAGTGCTCTTGGCAGGACACTGGGCCCTGGCAGGTGCTGTGGCTTCGTGCCTGGTGGGTCAGGGCTGCTCTGCAGGAAGCACTTTGGTGGCTCCAGACAGGGCTTGGAGCACAAAGGGGTTTGTGATGCTTAGAAAAGCTCACTTGGTAAATAATTCCTGTCTGGGGGCAGGGAGACGCTCTAGGAAGCCTCAGCTAACAACACTTCCAAGCAGGGATGAGGGTGAGTCCATCCCCTCTCCCTGGGGGCAGCTGGAAAGTCATTCATGGGGTGAATTGGAGATATAGGAGTAATTAAGTAGATCTGAAATGATGGAATGTGTCCGAAGTGACCTCCCACCCTGTCCTGGCTGAGCTGACACCCCTAGGGCTGTCACCACCTCCAGGCTGGAGCCAGCACGGAGGGAAGGCTGAACCAACTCTTGCTGCTGTGCTGAGGACTTGGAATTATGGAATGGTTTGGGTGGGAAGGGACCTTAAAGCCCACTCAGTGCTACCCCCTGCCCTGGCCAGGGACACCTCCCACCAGACAAGGCTGCTCCCGTGGCGTGAAACACCCCGAGGGAGGGAGCAGCCACAGCTGCTCTGGGCACCCTGTGCCAGTGCCTCAGCACCTCCCAGCCAGGAATCCCTTCCCAGTCTCCTACCTGTCCCTGCCCTCTGCAGTGAGAAGCCATTCCCTGTGTCCTGTCCCTCCAGGCCTTGTCCCAAGTCCCTCTGCAGCTCTCCTGGAGCCCCCTGAGGAACAGGAAGGGGCTCTGAGGTCTCCCTGGAGCTTCTCTCCTCCAGGTGAACACCCCCAGCTCTCCCAGCCTGTGGGATCTCTCCAGACCAGTAGACATTGTCCTGGCTCAGTCTCTGTGCCCTCTCCATCCCACACTCCTGTTGTCCCATCATTTCAGGGCCATGGGGAGCTCAGGGTCTCTCGTGGCCGTGACCCCAGCCCAGCGCTCCCAGCTGGAGTCACCCGGAGCCATGTGTCAGCTGAGTGTTCACTTTGGGTTTATTCTGAACTTACTGGTTTGCAATAACATCTCCCACGTTCCCAAATCCAGCCCCGGGCCGGTGGGGCCGGGAGAGGCTCCCCCAGGTGTCACCTCCAGCCTGGCAGGAGCCGGCAGGAAGGAGGATGTGGAGCCAAACAGCTGTGAGGAGGCTCAGGGTCACAGGCATACGTGTGTTCCCAGGAATTTGGGCCGGGATAGCAGGAGAATGGATGGGGCAGGGCCAGCTCCCCCCTGCAGGAAGGGATGTGCTGATCCCACAGCACGATACGGAGCTGAATGATGGGAAGGAGGAAGGCAGGGATCAGCCTGCACAAGGAGGGAAGCACCGGAAGGGTGTCCAGGATTCCCGAGGGAGGCTGTGGGTGACAGTCCCTAAAGTCAGGATGTACCTGGCTGGCAGCACTTGGCTCTGGAAAAACCCCGGGAGTCAAGTTCTTTTGGCTCTCAGCAGCTCCTGGAGGGATTTGTGTGTTTGTGTGGAGGATGATGAGCCCAAAATTCCATCTGTGTCCTGGGATCATCCTCCAGGGTGGCAGCTCTGAGGGCACTGTGCCACTCTGCCCTGCTCAGGTGAAATCCACCTGCGGTGCTGCTCCAGCCTGGGCAGCAACACAGGAGGATGTGGAGCTGCTGGAGAGAGTGCAGAGAGGCCACGGAGATGCTCCAAGGGCTGGAGAACCTCTACCCTGGAGCCAAGCTGGGAATGCTTACCTGGAGGAGAGCCCAGATCGGATGGAGCTTGGAGCCACCTGGGCTGGTGGGAGGTGTCCCTGCCCAGGGCAGGGGGTGGAATGGGTGGGTTTAAGGTCCTTCCACCCCAATCCGTTCCATAATTCTATGATCTTGTATCTGTTTCCCTTGTGTCCGAGCCAGGGCCACGACGACACGTGTGCTCATGGTAGGACTGGAATGAGCAGGTGTGGAGGACACAGGTTGGATCCATCAGTCCATAATCCCAGTGTGTGGATCTCAAAGGATTTTTCCAGCCTGGAGCTGGTGCCAGGCCCCTGGCACTGGGAGGAGGCAGCGGTGCCTCTCTGGGGGATGTGGTGTCGGAGCCTGTGGCCTGGAGGGACCTGGTTAACCCTGTCCTGATGCTATTTCTGCTCCAGCCTTTCCCTTTCTGTCCTCAGGCTGTAAACAGCACTTTTCCTGCTCCTTGTTCTGCTAATTCCAGCTGGGATTGCCTTCTCCTGCTAAATTCAGCTGTGGCTTCTGGGTGGTGAGTGGGACATGTCTGGGCACCCAGAATATCCCTTTGGAGCTGCTCAGCACCTCCTGTCCCTGTTGGGTTTCCCAGCTCTCAAATCTGCAGGACCTGCTGCCAGGGATGGGAGAGCCCCTGGGTGGTCCCCAGGATGTGATGGTGCAGTCAGATGATAATCCCTCAGGAGCTCTGGAAGGGGCTGGAATAGCCTCCCTGTCCCATCACAGGGCTGCCTGGGCCAGAATCCTTGGGATTTCTCATTCCCAGCTTGATCCATGAGCAGCTGTGTCTCTGGAAGTACTTCCCCAGCCAGGAAGGCTCCTGGAGCTCAGGCTGTTCCGCCGTGCCCTGCTGAGCCATTTCCATGCTGTCCAGGCCAATTGCAGTGGGAAACAGCAGGATTTGGTGTTTGGATTGGTGGGAGCTGGGGGCAGGAGCAGGTGGGAATTCTCCCAGTGCTTCCCCCACTGTAAAGCCACGTGGAAGCAGCAGTTCCAGGGAACCCTGGGAGGAGGTTGGAAAGCAAAGCCAGAGGCAGGATCCGTTGTTTGGGGAAAGACTGAATGCCAGGCTGGAATGCTGCCAGGCTCTTTCCAGGCTGGAGATAAGGAGCAGGGAGTTGTGGCTGGGAGCAGGGGGTGTAATCCCTGGTGGCGTCATGAGGAAGGAAGCTTTGCCTGGAATGTGACCAGAGGTTCTGCTGCTCCTGATAATGGGAGCTGTTTGCTCCTGGATCCATGGGAATTCCCACTCTTCCTTGTTGGAAGAGGACAGGGTCTCTCCTGGGCTGCCTGTGGCCATGGAGGGCTGGCATAGTGCTGGGGCATCCAGTCCTGCTTCCAGCCTGGCATTATTCCCAGAGGCAGTGATACCCGTGGGGTACCTGCTGTCCTCCCTCTCATCCCGGAGCTGCTTCCAGCCTGGCGTTCCCAGAGGCAGCTATACCATTGGGTACCTGATGTCTTCCCTCTCATCCTGGTGTTGGTTCCAGCCTGGCATTCCCAGAGGTTGGCACAGTGCCTGCTGCCTTCCCTCTAGTCCTGGGGTTCCTTCCATGCTGGCATTCCCAGAGTCAGGCCCAGTGCCCTCTAATCCTGTCTTGTCTCTGCAGGGAGTGGGGATGGCCAGGGACAGATCCTGCAGCGCTTCCCAGAGAAGGACTGGGAGGACAACCCCTTTCCCCAAGGAATTGAGCTGGTGAGTTGCTGTCCTTGGGGACCCTGAGGTGACACCATGGCTCTGTGCCCACAGGGTCTGCCTGGGGTGGCCTGGGAGGGAGGGT